CTAGTCAGAAGAAAAATCATTGTACTGGCATTCAGAATCAGAACCATGAAAATAACAACAACAATAGGGATACGAATGCTAACACTACTTATAATATAAGTAGTAGTAATAATCAGGATAATAAGAAGCAAAAAATAATGAAGACAACGGTAACAATGTTCACCAGCAGCATCATCGTCATCATCTGCACTGGGACAGTTTCTTGATACTATTGATCTTGGCAGCGCTTGCTCACCACAACCGAAGTTCCAATCACCAACGGCAATACATGTATGCTTGCATACTAGCATGTCTAGCGCATGCAGGACATGGGCATGGATGCACTTATCCGCTGCAACTCCGTTTTTGGTTGTAGGTTTGCACACCTAGATACGCATTACTTAACAGATGTGCCCAGAAATCTATGTGTGTTTTCCTGTGAATCGTCCTCAGGCTTAGGAGAAGTGATTGCGATGGCATGGTGTGTACTCGCACAGGTAGCAGTTCGTACTTGGCGAGGTTTTTGTTGACACGTTAGCAATCTTAGTAGCCAGGTCAAACAAGTAATACAGGGGCCTAAAGAATTACCTATACTATTTTGGGGGCCTCCTTGTTTTGATTATAGAAAAAAGGGGCCCAAAATCCATTCTGATTATTAAGACCCCAATAGTATTACGATCGGTCTCACATGTATTTGCAAGCGCGCACATCCATCCCAGGATTCAGCCGCATATCTTTTCAGGGCTTGGGGCAGCATTGACCCACAGAGACAGGTAGCGTCCAGGGGGGGGCGTTGAGGCTTGGGGTGGGCTTTACTTAAAGGATCATAGGACTTAGTAACTAGGTAGTTATAATTAAGGTAACTATACTACTTATTACCCCAATTAAGGTACTTATAACCATACTTACTAAGTCCCACGATCCTCCAAGTAGGATTGGGGCCTACATGAAGAAACGCGAGAATTCATCGAGCTGAGAAGCGTTCTATTATAGGGGCCTTGGTAGTTTTAATGGGGTTCCTTTGAAGGGCTCCATACGGATTACTATAAGGGCTAGTATAAGGATTTACTATAAACCCTATCCCAATTCTTAAGGCACCCATAGAACACCCCAAAACCCTATTCTAAGTATTAAGGCACCGGGATTAAGGCATCTACCCTGTAATAGTAACTTTAAGGATTATATCAGGGCCCTATTATATTCCGACTATATCACTATTGCAGGGTGGGGGCCCCTTCTAAGGCATCTTCACCTTGGTCTACATGCTCGGGGGCACCGCCCGGCTTGGAATCCTGGCAACCCTGCGCCCCGGCTCTCTCTAAGTATCCTTTAGGGTTTAGGGAATGGAGGGTTTTTAGGGTGTATATAGGGCTTAGGGAATGGAGGGGTTTTAGGGTTTAGGGCTTCGAAAAAGGAGGGTTTTTAGGGTGTATATAGGGTTTAGGGCTCAGGGAATGGAGGGTTTTAGGGTTTAGGGTTTACGGGATGGAGGCTTTTGTGTAGGGTATTAGGGTTTAGGGCTTCGGGAATGGAGGGTTTTGGGGTTTAGGGTTTAGGGAATGCAGACGGAGGGATGTCAGGAAAAGATTCCTGTGCGTAGCTTAGTTACGGCGACTCCTAAGCACACGATCAGGGTCGTTTTGCTGAGCCGGATGGATTCAATCAGGGACTCACTGCGAGAACTACGAGAATCTCACGTTCTCGGAGGTGCTCTTTTGATAAGCAACTGGTGCAGACGTTTACTGTCCCTGAATCCTTGTGCCTGTCTAAGGAACCTCTCGCAGATCTCGGAGTTTGCCTTGGCCGCTGGTACGCAAGCTGTTCACTTCCACGTGTGAGACCTCAGTCTTATAGCTTCTGTTCCATTTCCTCGTACCCCTGCTCCCTTTTTCTTTACTCCTCCTTCTAACACCTCTAGTTCCACGAGCTACCAGACACAACGACGACGACCAGGACGACCACGTGGACGACGATGAAGATCAATACGACCACTGGGACCGCTACGACCACCACTTCTACTCCGGCCGTTGCTGCAAGTACTGCTAAGGCGGCTACTACCACTACCACGACCACGACCACTTCCACTAATACCACTACCACTACTGCTACCACTACCACTTCCACTACTACTACTACTACTACTACTACTACTACTACTACTACTACTACTACTACTACTACTACTACTACCACTACTACTTGTACTACTGCCACTTCTACTTCTTCTTCTATTACACCTACTACTACACCTACTACTACTACTACTACTGCTACTACTGCTACTACTTCTACTACTACTACCACGACTGCTACTACTGCTACTACTACTACTACTACTACTACTACTTCTACTTCTACTTCTACTTCTACTACTACTACTACTACTACTACCATCACCACCACCACCACCACCACCGCCACCACCACCACCACCACCGCCCCCACCACCACCACCACCACCACCACCACCACCACCACCACCGCCACCACCACCACCACCACCACCACCGCCCCCACCACCACCACCACCACCACCACCACCACCACCACCACCACCACCACCACCACCACCACCACCACCGCTCGTGCTCGTGCTCTGCTGCGGCAACGATGACAACATGGACGCGGGCTATGAGGAGCTGGAGGAGGAGAACAATGTTAAACCCTAAACCCGTAAACCCTAAACCGCCTTCTTTCTGGTAGCCTAGATGCACTGGCAGAAAGGCATGAGGGCTCAAATAAATAGACCCTAAACCGCCTTCTTTCAAGATCTCCAAGGCATCTGTTTTCCCTGCCATCTCAGGTCATTTGCTCCTTGGGCTCCTTCGCTGCAGCATCGAGCTTCAGAGTGTGGGTTTTCGCGGTTTAAGGGTTTAAGGTTCAGGGTTTAGGGTTTAAGGGTTTAGGGGTTCCAGGGCTCAGTACTTAGAGAGCCAAGAGTAGTTGTGGTCGAGTTTTGTCTTTGGTGGGCGGGAATTGTGGTGCCTTGGTGATACACCTGGGGCTCAGATGCTACAGGTGGTGAGCAGCTAGTGCCTTGCCCAGGTATAAACAAAGGGCACATCGATGTCAAAACGCTGGAGATCATCATCTGGGCCGCTTGAATGCAATATACCCTTCATTTCCAGCCGAAACTGGATCCTAAAATGAAGCCGTGTCCTGGTGTTGAAGATCCTAAGTTTGGGGTACCAGACTTGAATACTTGTTTGGGTACCTGTTCCTTAAAGGAACCATTATGAAACAAAAGTCTATGCTTTTGTCTTCCTGTTTACTCCAACGTCCAGAGATCCTTCGATTCGTGCCAGAGCTGTACATGAGCATACGAAGCAACTCACCGGTGCGGCTCGTGAGACTGCGACGTGGAACAAGGTGTTCATGATCTTGTCTGTCCTTTCCTCCAACATCATCAACTACAACCACGAAATTTTCAGGACACCGGGCTGCGATTCGTGCATCATTGTACATGGAACAGGGCCACAGACCATGCCACTGACTGCCCTTGCCGGTAGCATGTCGTCACTGATGCCTGCCAGGATCATGGCGTGGTTGTCGCGGAAGGCGGCCCAGTACAAAGCAATGCTCACGACATGTGGTCGTTAACATAGCCGTGTAGGCCAAGATAAGTTGTACGACGGCTGGTCCTGATGATGCTAATCAAGCTGCTGATGGAAATGCTGATTGAAATGTTTTGGTGGCGACAACGATGGCGGCCAGTGATGATGACGATGGTGGCCATAGCTTGAATCTTAAAGCTCCTCTGGTTGTCCGCAGGTAAGCAAGAAGGGCATTGATGATGCCAATGAGGAGCAGACGCCGGACACCCAAAGCCGACTCACAACAGTGCTGCCCGGTTTCTGCTCGGTCTCTCTCTCAGCAATTTAACTCTTCAGCCGGGCAGCTGGGCATTCTTGGATCGATGGTATTCGTAATATGTATATGCATATGTATACGCGTACATATATATATATATATACTCACATTGTACACATATATATATATATAGAGAGAGAGAGAGAGGGAGAGATAAAGAGAGAGAGAGAGAGAGGGAGAGACAGAGCGAGAGACAGAGCGAGAGGGACGTCTCCTTTGCAGAACCGCCTCAGCCTACACCCACGCCTAGGCTCCGTCACTGCGTAAGCCTAATCACCTCGAAGTCCGGATCTACCACAGAACGAGCGACTTGAAACCGGAAAACCCTGAAACCCTCAACTTTAATCCCTAAGTCCCTAAACCCTAAATCCCTAAAGCCTATAAACCCGCTTGAAACAGGCATGAGGACGAGCGGGACATCCTTCTTCTTGGCCTGGCCCTCGTGAGCGGACGATCACACCAACCCCGGTCTGTGTGAGGTGTACGTGCATACATACATACATACATATCACACATACATATGTAAATATATGTACATATATATGCATATATATATATATATATATATATATATATATATATATACGTGGGTATATATATATATATAATATGTACATATATATATATATATATATATATATATATATATATATAAATACGCATATGTATATACATATACATACATATACACATGTACAATATGTACATATGTGTATGTGTAGCTGGAACTAGGCATAATTTGGCCTAATGCATGGTTGCTTTGAGCCCCCAGCCCGCCATGGCGTCAACCTATAATTTAAACCAATAGCAAGAGCATGGTAAGAAAGGGGCCTTAAGAGCTCCTTCAAAGGGATCGATATAAGGGCTACTATAGGGGATATTACAAGGGCTCTATGATATAGGGGCCTTGGTAATTACCTATACTATCTGGGGGGTTTTTTATTATGAATTAGTATAATTTGCACCAGAACCCCATGCTATTTATTTAGGCCCCTATATTAACGAACACACAGGACATTGAATATTGGAAGAGCTAGGAAGGCCTCGTTTCGAAACAGCCCTCGGTTTTTGAGAACTGTAGGCATATTCCAATGTGTCTATACATGTCTACATGCGCATGTGCGGTGCATGGTAGCTATTAGATTTGTTTCATGTCAGGCTTCCACCGCATTGCCTCCATGTTGGTGGCAGAGTTTGAACACCACAACCCCCAGCTTCTCAAGAAGCTGCAGGCTGGGTTCCTTTGACAGTAAGCCCAAACCCTATTATTCTAATGATTAAGGCAGCTATATTAGATTCTAATGATTAAGGCCCCTACATTATATTCTAATTATTGAGGCCCTTATATTAGACGGTTCAGGTTGAGGGTTGGAAAGCGATCAATGAGTAATTCCTAGATCCGACTGCTCTCAAGCTTCGGCGGTGGAATGTAGTCATAAGCAGGATTGAATACTGGGGAATCTACGAGCCGGTTATCAGGCCGGTATAGCCAGTCTATAGCCGGGTTATCTTCTGTGGGAATTTCCAGAAACAGCCCAATCAGCACTACTAGAAGCACGAATGCGGCTCCCCATATACTGGCCGGGTTCAGGAGCACGACCAACATGCTTTCCCCAAGTACTGGAGGGATTCAGACATTTCGAGGCCAATGTCTTTCTTGGAATTGACAATGCACGTGGCTTTCCGAGAGACGCGGCTGCACCCTAAACCCTGAACGCTGAGACATACAAAGTGTACCGAACCTCCTGTACTGCTGGATTTCACAGTGCTGGGTAAATAGAACGGAATAGGCTAGAATGACGAGATGAACGGAAAGTCAGCTGCAGTAAGATAGTCTCATATGGTGTAAAAGCATAAAACCCGTGTTGCAGAATCGTCGCATACCGTGCCAGGTGGTGGAGTTCAACCAGGCGATCAAGGACGCATACCGCCCTATTCGCAGCCACTGCCAGACCCAGTGTTCTTTCTGATGCTTGTTCAGAGTCCGCTAGAACCCTAAACGGGTTAGACATGGTATGCGCTTATAGTCCTGAATATAGTTATACTAATTTTGTATAATATGCCAGCTGTTGCGTTCCAAACTACTATGGCACCCATAGTAGATGTTCTCCCAGCGGCTCTCCTCAAAAGCACTATAGTGATCTTTGCTGACACAGGCCTATGGGTGTCGCAGTAGCGCGTGTTCTGCGGTCAGGAGCCGCTGCTGAGACGCGGAATCAAGTTTACTTACGGCCCCTTGGCAATTCGACGTTCAATGTGTTGATCGGTCGCTGTTGCCTTATTCCAAGCGTCAATTGAAAGGCGGCCCCAGCTCAAGAAGTTCTCGAAGTGAACACAAAACACCGAGTACACTCCCTGTGGCTGCCAGGTGACTTCTCAAGCGCGGATGTTCTGGAGCACTGCTTCCATGGAGAGCCAAAGGCACTGCTTGATGCGATGATGTGGCCTCGATGTGTTGTGACATTTGTGCGCCTGTGTAAGCGAGACGCAGGAATCGCCAGTGCATTCTTGCTGCAGACCGTCTTCACCACTTGTCCTTGTGCATTGCTGTGTCGGAACCGTGCAGATCATCATCTCTACGACACCGGACACGATGCTTCAGGGCCTTTCAGCTGCAAGATAAGAAGTCAGCAAGGGGATGTTTCCGAATCTGCATCGCTCTTTGGCCCCATGTCGGGCATGTTTCAGACCGGGCTTTTGCCTGTTACCGTTCCGGGTTGCGCATGATAGCCCGAAGCCGTCCCGGAGTTATCATAGCTGCGTTAGACACGGGCCGGCATTCTCAGCCTTCCGCCATGAAGAACGGATGACTTTTACCCATAGGCCCCAAAGTAGTTCCTTTTGGGGGTTCATATTTAGAATCCTATAAGGTAATGGAACTACTTTGGGGCCTATGGGTATGCTATCTTCAAAACGACACTGCGTCATCAGCTTCCTGAGACCCAAGCCCGCAGAACATGCACTGATCGTGGTTCCCGGCACTTGGAGCCCTTGCTCGGCAACATCTGGATCAAAGCGGCTTCTGCGAGCAATAGTAGTATCCCCGCAGATTCCTGCAACTGACAACTGACAATCGGTACAGAATTGCGGCAGACTTCCCGGCTCACTGTGAGCGCAAAGCCCAGGCACCACCAACATGCGCATCCTCCAGGCTCGAGCTCCTAATGTAGGGGCCTAAATGATAACCAATACTATTTTGGGGGCTTCCTTACTGTAGTTATAGTGTAATGGGCCCCAAACCCTATTCTAATGATTAAGGCCCCCATTTTGCGGAGACACTTTTGGATCTGATAGAACTAGGGGGTCCTTTGGCGTGGGGAGAGTGGTGTGGATGCAAATTTGTGGGCTTTGTCTGAAACTCCCACTTCGTTTGTAGGTGTTGAATTGCGAGGAGGAGTTTATGAAGTTCAAGTCTCCAGGTCTATCTTAACAGCCTGGAGTTCAAGGTTGGGTGTAAGATCGCTCTGCGAAATACAAACCAAAGGTGCCGTGCCGGTTCAATGGCTTGCCTCATCGAATTCTAGGTTCATGGAACTGCCCCTGAGGCCGACGGTGAAACCTTGATAGACAACATCTTTTAGTTCCGACACATACATACCCCATGCATACCCTCAGTCTTATTATTCAGGCCCCAATAGTGTTTTCCTCAGCTGTGTTGAGCAGACTTGAGCACAATCGCCCCATCGGCGCCACCCTTCTGCAGAGGAAGCTTCCAGAACAGATTCACGTTTAACGGCTTTCAGTTACGAACAGCGCTGCACCCTACCCTATGCCCTAAGACTGCAGAGAAGTGAGTGAACTGCGGTCAGTTGAGAATAAATCAAATGATGCATCATGGCAGGTGAGCCTGATTGAGGCTCTCTGCAGCACAGACGGTGCAGAAACATGCCCTCAAACATGTACCTAGAAGCCGCCCACCACAGATGTCAGAAAACTCCCAATTTGCAAAAGGAAGCCTTTCTCGAATTAACCAGGACCATTTCGGGTTTAGGGTTTAGGCTCCATCCTTTACCCCCGAGCTCCTTGGCCAAGCTGTGGCATCCTACCTATAGTCTCCATTGTAGTTCCTTTCTTTGGTTTAACCAATTTTATATTAAGGATCCTAAAAGGTAACCCCAAAAAGGAACTACAATGGAGACTATATGTAGCATCAGTCCACGATCGTTTTGAAAGTTCTGATAGTCCTCAACCCTGCGCTGAGCAAGGAACGCAATCAGCGGCGAGTTCCGGTGACTGAAAAAACAGACAAGTGTTGTTGAAGCCTGGAAGTATTGTTAGCCGTTAGCTACTGGTACTACCGTTTATGTTTGAATATCTATTCCTATTCTGCTCCTAAGCCAGCACTGTCGCAGGTGGTGCAGGGGGTCTGGCCGAAAGCACACGTCATCGTGACGGCAGACAATCCTCGCCAGGCAGTGTTCCGAGTAATCTTGTGGCGAGCTTCGATGAGATTCTCCAAGGGGAAAAGGAGGGACCCTTAATGGGGACCCCTAGGTATATACCCTTAATATAGCTATTATATACCCATGATATAGCCCATTTTAGGGTAGGGGTCCCCATTAAGGGTCCCTGCTTTCAATGCCGGAGCAGAGCATCGAAATCTTAAGCACTTGGCACCGAGCCAACAGCAAGACAGTAACAGATGCAGCTTAGTTCTGTGGTTCCTCAACCATGGGACAGCACAATCATATACTGGAGTATACTCTAACAATGTAACATAATATGATAGAGTATACCAGTATAGTATGATACAATTCTTTAAGATAACACAGCAAAATGTTTTATACTAGGACACAGTAGAATATATTGTAAGAGCACATGGCTGAAGCTTGGTATCTCAGCTTGAGGAGTCGATCTGCAAAGCTGTGCCCTTCAATCCCTAAACCCTGAACCCTCAACCCCTTAACCCGTCTTTCCGGAGTAAGAGAGCTGCAGCGCAAGCTGAGATTCTAAGCTCAAAAACGAGCGACTGCAGCAAGTCAAGCATTCAGACAGTTGGAGATTCCGGTGAAGATGCATGGGGCAGTTGTATGCCACATTGCGTAATCATATAATATAAATCAATATGAGCTACTTTTCTATCTATATATATATATATATATGATGTAAAATCTAATTTGATATCATGTCATGTAATGTATTGTAATGTAATATGAAAGTTTTCGCAAGATGAGTCTGATCTGCTATCACGCGACAGGCTGCGGAGCTTTACGAGTGCCTGCGGCTGCAATCAGATGCATTCAGGGTTTAGGGTGATGGGTTTTGAAAGAATCTTGCATGGACCCATCGCGTCCTGACATGCTGCTGCTACTACTACTACTACTACTACTACGACTACTACTACTACTACTACTACTACTACTACTACTACTACTACTACTACAAATCTTGTCACTGTACATGATTGCATGCTGCCCCGCACGTACAGAACCTGATTTATACATATCTAGGTTATGTTCGAGTCACAGCACACGCGAGCCCTAAACCCTAAACCGTAAGTGCAGCAGTCAGCGGTTGGATCGGTTGGCTCATGGCAGCAAGCTCGTGCTACATCTGAGAATTCATGTGCAGTAGTTGAGCCCTCTCGAAGGATGTTGATGGGCCTCAGGCTGGATTCTGAAGGGATTTGCAGCCTGAATTCTCCTTGTGTTTAGTGATTACTGTACTATTGTACGACTGTACTACTACTGTACGAGTGTGCCTATGTACTACTCTGCCGGGGCGGAGTGGTTTGGTGAGCAATTTTGGGGGATCATATTATTCAGGCCGCCGGGAATGTGGTTGGGGGTGGCGCGCACGAAAGACAGTGCAATATTACTCCATTGTGGTCCAGTGGTCGCATGGCCAAGCAAATTATTCGGTTGATTCAATTCTGGCCCCCCATTGCCCAGGGAAGTAGATCACAACTTCGAATCTGCACCTGAAATCAGATGCGGCGCCCATTACGTGCTGCGCTCGGCCAAGCTTTGTGCAGAACGTCTCTTCGAGCTCCTCAACAAATACGAAGCTTGGACTTGGCACTTGGATCGTGAAGTGTGTGCAGTTGAAGTTCGGGCTTTGCCGGGTCTTTGTTGATGTTTCTTGACTAGAAACCCTGAACCCTAAACCCGAAGCAAGCCCAAACTAGCAAAGCAAGCCCGAAAACCGATCC